TATGTAAATTAATGATAAAAATATACAATAAATACATTTTTAATTTTTTTTTTTATGAATATACTTCTCACGTTATCTTCAAAATTACGTATTCGAACAGTTCTTCTTCCAATAAATATACACATTAATTTTTGTTGAAGTTCCCAGAAAATGGACCAAAGAGACGAGGAATGGAATTTAATTCCGGACCAAAGTGGGAGACGTAGTGTGCTGTTAGGCTGTAAAGTTAAACCAGTTATCTTAGGCAAAACATGCAGATCACCCCTTAACTCACTGACTGGTGGCAAATCACCCCCTCAACCCACTTCATGCGCAAATCAGCCCCTCTGTTAAGGCTGACATCATCATTTCGTTAACTTTTAACCGTCCGTTCATCCGTTCATCTGTCGCTCCTCCACGTTTGATGTGGCTTTTTTTTTTGCTGAGATGGATGTTGAGATGTCTCTTGGCCCCACCACCACCTCCTCCGCTTCCATAGCACTCTTCAGGTGGGTCCTACATATACCACCACCACCGATTTCGCAGCCTCTACATCTTTCAACAAGAAGAAAGTGAGGTTCTCGTTAATCTCAAACCTTTTCAAGTCCAGATCCGACAAATTGAATTTGGATCCTAGGGTTGATCCTCTTCGAGATTCTTACGAGGAGCCATTGTCATCTCCGTCCTCCTCTTGGTTCTCAACGATCTTCTCTGAATGCTGAAAAAAGCAACAATCGAGAATGTTCTACATGGACATGGAGGAACTAGCTGTCGGCGAACAAAGATATTGTAGGGTGGTTGATCAGGGAATGTCGCATGTTAGGAGTGAGAATACCGAGGACGAGGGCAGTGATCGAGCGACGTATGGGAGCTCGCAGGAGGCATCGCCTCGATGGCGGTGGCGGAGGACACCAATGGCTTGTCGACGAGGGAAGGCGGCTTGTGAGCAGGGCAGAAACATGTCCAGATTGGAGTTATGTATGAGTCCTCTGGTGAGGGCGAGCTCGAACTGGCACTGGAACCAGAAGGGAGGATTGCCGCCAAAGATAGAATTTACCGGCGAGATTCTAACTCCCGTGAAGCCATGCCTGGCTGCAGCGGCGTCGTTTTGCAAGAATTGATCCAGAAAACTTGCTGATTTTGGCATAGTACATCACAACCGTTGAGAATCGGCAATAAAGACGTGACCAGAAATCTAGTAGGATCAGGTCGCGGTGAAGAAGATGATGATGA